TCTCCAGTGACACAGGCAAGGATGGGCTGCCTAGGATTTCCTTCTGCTGTGCTCAGTAGGTGTCACTGCCTCAGCATCACTGCAAAGTCCCAGGAAAGTACGGTAGTGGCAGCCACAACACAAAAGCAGGAGGAATGGGTAGAAAACTTCAAAATATATTGAACGTATTACTCTGGAATTCTTCTGGCAGAGAATCTTTTTTTTTAAGAATAAAAATGACTTCTAAAAAGCAATTTAAGAAGCATACCTGAAGATTAATGATTATAATGACTTGGAGAACTATTTAGCTCTCAGTAAGGGGTGAGACTGCTGCTTTAAAATGTAAACTGATACAAAGTTGACAATGTCAGCTTAGCAGGCAGAAAGAACTGAAATGACATTTTTCATCTCTACAGAGCCAAAGTGTAGGCACAGCTGTTCATACTTTGGAGTGTATTTATGTACTCAAAAACAAGTAATAACAACATTGCTTTGCAAGTGATGCTGTGTTACAAGTCCAGAGAGAGTAAGCACACTGTGCATAACATGCTGTCCGAAACGTATCTGTGTTAACTTCCCAAAAGCATTGCTAGTGGACTAGAAAACAAAGCCTCTGGTAATAGCCGAACAGTTTTAAATGTGACTCTTCATAAACCAGTTTTTGTGATAAAAAAAAAAAAAAATCAAATGATTTGTTGTTGCTTTTTAAAATTTAAATTACAGAATCATCCAAGTCAATTTTAATTTTTAATTAATTTATTATGGTACTGGGGACTGAAACCAGGGAGCTCTGAGCTACAATCCCCAGTCCTTTTTTATTTTGAAACAAGGTCTCTGTAAATTGTCCAAGCTGGCCTGCAAGTTGCAATCCTTTTGCCTCAGCCTCCTTAGTAGTTGGGATTACAGACAGATGCTGCCATGCCAAGCCTAAGTAAAATGTTATTTAGAAATAAAGCAAATGCATGTGAAGCAGAGTCTGAAGGTTATAGTAAATGCCATCAGTAATGACAAGCTGCTTATTAAAACCTCTCTCAACTCCCAAGTGTAGGTCCTGAAGGCCAAACTAGAGTCAGTAAAAGAGGAAGTGTGCAGAGTAGCAGCACCACAGCAAAACACTGCACATGTGTTACAGTGCTGCGGAACACTCAGCCAGGCAGCGACAGCTCCTCCTCTTCCTCACTCAGCAGACTGTAACTGGTTTTTTTTAACCAGTACCAGGGATCGAACTCTCGACTGCGCGCTTGTAAGACAGGTGCTTATGTGGCTGAGCTAAATCCCTAGCCCCAGTGTGTAACTGGTTTTACACACCCAGAAACAACTTCACTGATTGTCAGTGAGTCTCTTGAAAATGTGTATGAAAATCTGTGGATCTGAGTATTTTCCTAAAGCAGATTCTCAAGAGTCCACGATTCAAGTAAGATTAAAAATCATTACCTAATACCTAAGCTAAGTGAAGTACAGATAAGATTAATGATTGCAATGACTGGGAGAACTCTTTAGAGCAAAATACAAATTACAGAAGAAAGTGAGACCAGAGTATAACAGCAAATGAATATAGTGATGAGAAATTAGGAAGGCAAGCCTGAAACACATGATGAAATAGTTCAAGATACTATAAAAATCGGTTTATATTTTTCTCAAAATTTAAATTGAAGAACATTAATGAATGGCTGATGTGAGAGACAAAAATGCAGAGTGTGAGAATGTATTTAGGAACACTCATGGGATTTTCTTGTGAGAATTCTGTACTCATTCTTGTTAGATGTGGTGGCACACATCTGTGATTACAGCACTTAGGAGGCTGAGGCAGGAGGACTGCTGTGAGTTCAGAGCAAGCCTAGGCTACACAGAGAATTCAAGGCCAACCTGAACTATGTAGCAAGACCCTCTCTCAACCTCCCCCTGAATTATTCTGTACTCATTCTTGTAGTCTGAACAAACACATACTAAAACAGTTTATGTCTGTCCAACATCTGGCCCATAAATCCAATAGTAAACACACATGTTCTTCAAATAATGGTAAAGTTTTAATAGCTTTATTGTTGACACCTGAATTTCTTTATAGGTTAACGCTGATAACCAAGACATTTTTTAATATATTGAGCTATTTTATACTTACCACTCCACCTACACACCGATCTCTGTTTCTTTTCATTATGTCTGTGAATTAACAGAAAGAACCTTTAGCAAGTAGCTGGATTTCTATAAAATTCTTAAATTCTAAATGAGAATTTTATTTTAAACTCACCCAAAAATTCATCATGTGAGTTTCGACAATGAAGAAACATTGGTAATTTTGTTTGTTCTGACAGTTCAAATTGTTTTTCAAAATATCTGCATTTGTTAAGAAATTTCCTCAGTAAACTTTTTATTTTAGCATGAGAAAGAAAGTTATTCAAAAGACATTTTTGGGCAGCACTGGGGATTGAACCCAGGGCCTGGTGCTTGCTAGCCACATGTTCTACAAATGAACAAAATCCCAGACATAAATGCTTTTTTTTTAATTAAAGGAATCTTATTGTTTAGAAATGTCGGCACCAAAACTGTGAATTCAGACACTAAAATACATTAGGCATAACAGAGGGTTTTAAATACACAACTTAAGGAAACGGCTACTCCATTTTCTAGGATGACTCTACACATCTTTCTTTGTGATACGTGGGGCTGAACCCAGGGGGGTCAAGTGCTCTACTACGGAACTATGCCACCAGCCCAGTTCCCCATCCTGTTCCGCCCTGTCCTATTCATCTGGAGACAAGAGTCTTACCAAGGTGTCCAGCCTGATCTCAAACTTGTGACCCTCAAGACTCAGCTTCCTGAGAAGCTGAGGTGACAAGCATGTGCTGCTCTGCCAGCTTGCAGTCTGTTTTTCATGTGCTATTTATTATAAAAGTTACTGCCACTTTACAAAAAGAACAAGGATCAACACTAAATCCAAGAAGTTGGTAAGTAAGTACAGTAAGTCTCCGGCTGATGGGCATCTGAGTCGTGAACTTTTACAGGTACATTCATGGATGCGAACGCACTGTGGCAACAGCTCCCATGTCAGCCACACACGGTCACAGCTGCGCTGCTGTGCACAACCTGTACAGTGCCATGGTGTACGGGGTCCTGTGCTCAGAGCCAGGTCATCAGAAGCAAGAGGAACAGCAGTGGAGATGTGGAGGGACTGCCAGGAAGCACAAAGCAGTAACCAGGAAAATGAAAATAACTAAGAGACTGGATGAGATGAAAGGCCAGCGGACACTGCTCACATCCCCCCACCCCGCTCCGGTCACCCCGTGTTCACTCATGCGTCCCTAGATGCCAGCTGCTGCACCATCCTTATCACCATCTTAAGGTAACTGTAAAAGGAAAGCTGGTTTCCATATCAGTGTGTGTGTGCGGCTTACATTTGCATCAAATGTGTGTGAAGACTCACTTTGTTGAACTTAACCAAGTGAACATTCTCTTGGGACTGAACTTGTTCCTAAGTCAGGGACTTACTGTAGTACAAAAACCAAAGTAAGCTATTTTTTCAGAGGACAAAAACAGCACAATAGCGGCATTCCTGAGTATGCTAGCACACTCTGCAACCTTTACCAAATGCCACATCCCCTATCTCGTGTTGCTCAGGAGGACCTATGTGCTAGGCGAGGACAAGAATTGGCTCACAGGGCCGCAGTGCTTCATCCAGGACCACACAGGCAGGCAGGCTTGGAACCAGGAGGTTAGTGCTCTAATCCCATGTCCTACCTAGACTTACTGTTCACAGCCACTTCCTCCTGCTCCCCAAGTAGTGGCTGATATCCAGAGGTGAGAACAGAGGCAGCATCCTGCTGGGCTTCTCCTTTTAACCCTGTGCTAATCCTTATTCCCATGACTGGCCACGTCTGTCTAACTGAAACCAGTGCAACAGGTGACCTGTGATTTTCTTAAGTGGGTTATTTCTTCTAAGTCTTTTAAATTGGGGAAACAATTTCTCTACCTAATTTTTTTTTTTTTTACTGTATTTTCCTATAATCCTATCTTTTGATATGAAGGACCGTTTCCCTGGAATACCCCTTCATGTGGCTGAAAGTGCTAAATTTTAAAATCAGAAATAGAAATATACTTGACACATTATTAGTAAAGAAATAGTCTTTCTGCTGGACATGGTGTCAGGAGGCTGAGGCAGGGGTACTGCCATGGGTTTAAGGCCAGCCTGAACTACATAGTAAGACCCTGTCCCAACAAAACAAAACAAAGAAAATAATCTCCCTAAAATTAGTACTTTGTATCTTAAGTACCCATTGAGTAAGATTGCTTGGTTTGGTTTTTTTGAGATAGGGTTTTACTATATATTTCAGACTAGCCTTGAAATCACTATGGAGCCCAGGCTGGCCTTGAACTGTTGGCAGTCCTCCTGCCTCAACTTCCCAAGTGCTGGGATTACAGGTGAGCACCACCATGCCGTGCTTGTCTGGGTGTTTAAATCACCTCTTTAGGGGCTGGCTCAGCGGCATAAGCACCTGCCTTGCAAGCAGGCAGTCGTGAGTTCAATCCCCGGTACCGATAAAAATGAAAAAGACAAAAAAAAAAAAATAATAATAATAATTAAATCACCTCTTTAGATTCTGCTTACCTAGAGTAACAGTATTGACATTTTCCAGCGCAAGCAATATTAATGGAAACTTGGAAGAATTTTAAGAGTAACTACTTTGCCACTGCTTTCCCTGGCTGCTGAAACAATGGTTGTGAGGGGCTGAAGATTTAGCTCAGTGGCGTAAGCGCCTGCCTGGCAAGCACGAGGTCGTGAGTTTGATCCCCAGCTCCAGTTAATAAATAAATAAATAACAGATGTGAGCAGCTGAGTATCTCTCATCAGTGGCCTACGGAGCATGCTGCTCCTGTCTACACCACGGACAGCGCCTCCACATGTGCCCACCACTCTGGACTGCTGAATCGAGCAAGTTTATAGAATCTTTGTCAATCTGCAAACCAGCATTCTATTGCAGGGTAAACAACAGTATAATTTGTAGAAAAAACAGAAACCCAAGCAATGCGCTCAAAGAATTTTATGTAATTTGAGACAGGAAAGACTTTGAGTCCAAGGTAGCTAGCTGGGTATCATTCGGAAGCCATGTAGTAGAAAACTCCAGATAAAAACTGAGAACATCATCACTATAACGGCTGTGTTTAACAAGAAATGACCTAAGTTACAGGGCAGAACTGACATCTACTAAAAGACATCACTGCCTATTGTCCTTATTTATGGATTTGTTTTTCAGTTCATAAATGAGTATCTTTCTTTACTTGAGTTGGATTTACTCACTTTGATTTCAGGTTGTATCACTGCTTCCTACAATTTAGGGGCAAAAAAGATCTAAGAAGAAAGGTTTGACTAGGCAAGATTCAGAGTAACAGCTGTTACTAAATAAGACTGAAGAGCCCGAAATCCCAGTGACTCACTCTGACCCACCTCGGCACAGGCAGTGATGCCACTGCAAACCAGATGACAAGCATGGCCTCAAGCTCTCACTTTGAGGGTTTCCTGATTTGTCTGACTTTTAAAGATTTACCTGGTGTTAACATTTTAAAGCCCCAAGAAAATGTCCAGAGCAAACTCCTCCAAACCAGGAGAACTGAGTCTAACTTGCAGCAGGAAAGAGTGTAACACAGAGCAAAGGAAGTGAAAATACAGGGAATGACTCCAAGGATAAACTTTCTATAACCAAGTGACAACTTCCATTGCTTCCATTGTTTGTTTCTTATTCTTTAAAACTGTTCAAAAACCCCAAACAAAAATTACAGCTGGTATTTTCCTTTAGAATGGTAATATTTCTACCAACAACAATGTAACACAGCTATAATTTATTGAGTACTTATTCTGTGTCAGGCAAGCCATGATGGGCTTCTCATACCTACTGTGCTAAAAACAGGTATCATTATCTTCATTGTAAGGATGAGGACACAATGAAGGGTTACATGGTCTTCAGTGGCAATTATAAATCACACCTGAGGATCTGCTGATTCCCAATGTCATACTTTTATTAACCCCAGGGATGTTCTATCACTGAACTACACCCCCAGATCTTTTTATTTTCTGACACAGGGTTCCAGTAAGTTGCCTGGTGATCCACTAGCCTGTGACCCTCCTGCCTCAGCCTCTCAAGTGCTGTGGCACGTAACACCCTTGACCTTGTTTTTCTTTGCAGCATAGTGAAGGAGGACTGAGTAATCATCCATTGAATCAACTGAAGTCAAGCTATCTATTACACATCAACACTTAGACAAGTGGCATTCTGTGAGTTATAGCAGAAACTATATCTTTAATGTGTGTGTGTGTGTGTGTGTGTGTGTGTGTGTATTCCCATCTTAATCTCACGATGGAAGTATCTTTAAAACAATAAAATGATCAATATTACCAGTGCTTTTATGTAACCCCCAAACTGAGTATAAAGAATTAGTGCACATTTTAGAATCAGTTTTAACATATTCTAGAAGAAAATTCCTATGGGCAAGAAATCTGCCTTGCTTGTCCTAACACAGTTGATGACCCATAATGTTCATTCTGCCCAAAAGCAGACATGGAAGTAGAAGAAAAACCTAAGAAACAGTCAAAAAAAAAAAGCTTCTATTTTAGTGTGAATATGTGAACTTTTAAGGTTAAGTGAGCTGATCACATGGTATTCAGGAGAGGCACAGAGCTGCAGTAACTCTGCTGGTAGCCACCAGAAAATCACAAGTGTCCCTGAAAAACACAAGTAACATACCACATTTGCTTAAAGAAAAGGCCTGAAGGAAGAGTATGACCACAGAACAATATTCTAACTCCACTTGGTAGAGGATCTTCACATTCCAGAAATTCAAGAGCTTCAAGTCTAGGTTATTTCCAGCTCCACCAATAAACCTGTTCCTTACCACAGTGGTTTTCAGTAAGGGAGCTCAGACCAAGATTTTATTTAGGGCAAAACAGTGGGGTGAGGGCTGGGGTACACTGCTGGCCATCAAGTCACTGGCCACATTAAAATCAAATGACAAAAATTATTAATAAAGCAAGATGTTATCTTAAGAGGGACTGACTCATCTCCTTTGTATATAAGAAACTTCTAACGTAGGGGGTAGGGAGTAGCTCAGGGTAGGGCACTTCCCTGGCATGCAGGAGTCTTAGGTTTGATCCCCTGCACCAAAAAGAGGGATTGGCAGGGGCAGGCAGGGAGACAGAAGAGAAGCTGAAGTGGAGACACAGATGGCTGCTGATTCTTATAGGCCCCTACGGACAGACAGCAGACCTTACTCATTTTTGTGAACTCTGAGTTCCCAGCAGTCATTGCCAAGTAGTAGTCTACAAATATCTGTTGTCTGAATGAATAACTAAATCAACCTCAGAAGTTCATTCTAATGTTTAAGTGCAATGGTACTTCAGTTCACGAATTCAATTCTTTCCGTGATTCTGGCTGCAAGCTGAAGTGGGTGGGAGCTAAATCAAATTTCCCTAGAAGGTCAGTATTAACCCTAACACGAATTTGATTCAGTTCTCGTACAATGTGGTTTGCACCCAGAATGTGAAAAGATTGAATCTTGCTAATTAAGTGTTTCTGAAGTTCAACAAAATGGCCATGTTCTAAATTAAGACTTTGACACAATTCTTATGTACAACCCACTGAGTCACACTAAAGCCCTTCCAAAGCTCCTATTAAAGGATCCTCACTGTTCCAAACTGACAACATCCACTGCCCCTCAAGAGGTAAGAGGCTTTCTCGGTTTACGGCTGGTCCTGCAATCCTCTTTTAACGTCTCCTACTCTTAAATCACATCCACAACTGAATTTAATTCACTCCATTAGAATGGTGTACATATGAATGCATTAGTTAAAAAAAAGAAAACCAAAAATCTTTATCAGGTAAAACTCATGCTTTATTTCTACCCTGAAAGTCAAATTAGGAGGGAGTAGCTCAGTGGCATAGCACTGACCTAGCAAGCAAAAGGTACTGGGTTCAATACTCAGTACCAAAAAAGTCATGCTCCAGAGGCTGAGGCTGGAGGATGATCACGATTAGTTGGAGGCCAGACCAGAGTATCCAAGGAGACTCCATCTCAAAAACAATCAAAATCAAATCTAATTCATTAATTGAGGGACTATGTGTTTCAGTCTCTTATGAATTATTTACAAATATGCATGGGATTTGTTTCATTTAACTTCAGATATACACAGGAAAAAAACAAAAAATATCCTTGTGCTTAGTTTAGCTACATGTTCAAATGATAAATTATTTTAAATATCACTTACTTAAGCTGAGTGTCTTTGGGACAAAACTGCAGCCGATCAAAATCTTTAAAAGATTTAAAAATAAGAGTAATTACTCCAGACTTGTGTAAGACACATGGTTCATCATTAAACAAAGCCACCCACTTAGGCGAGGCCCACACTCACCAAGCCCACATTCCCCTATGGCCACGACTTTGCCCTTGTTGTTTTCAGCAAGACTCAGCAGCTCCTTTAAGTAAAGATCAGGGTTATTCTTTTCAAATTCACCACATCTTGTAGGATGGCAACCAACTGTGCTGAAAAACATATCTAACAACAACCAAAAAATAACATCAAGGTTATTTTCAAAATACTTTTCATATTGACAATATATACAAGTTAGAGAATGTCAATTAATTTCAACAAATGGTTTTTAACAAATGCCATAAACTATTTCAGAATAACAAAATTGCATTATGTTATTCATATAAGAATTTAAGAAATATTAAGAAAGTAGAATAAGCATATGAAAATTGCCTTATTGTGTTTAAAATAGTTCTGTTCTTTCCAAATCTCGGTATTAATACCATCAAATACTACAAATGAATAGTGAAACGATTTCTTGAAATGTTACCTCTGATTATGTCTTCTATATTCATTGTTTGTGCCTATCTTGATGCATGTATTTAATATAACAAAATTATACAAATGGTATTTAGTACATTCTAATAATCTAATGCTGTATTTTAATTTAAAATATGAGAAGTGAACTTTGTAATGGTGAATAGCAGTGGTAACCTACAGAGGTAGAAGGGGGTTTCTGTTTTCTAACACCGTGAAAAAGCTCACGGAGGCCACACTTTCACAGCTCGCACCCAGGGCACACACATGAGAAGTCAGGCTGGTTCTGGAGGGCTGAAACTGTCTATGAGACAGCTGTGGAGACTTCAGCCCTCGCACAGGTGCCTACAGATAAAGAGGCAGCTTTTCCTTCTCCTTCCCTCTTCTACTTCTCCCCTCTACTCCCCTCTTTTCTTCCTCATACTGTGGACTGAACTCAGGCTTTCCTGCTAAGGTACGTCCCCAGTCTTTTGGTTATTTCTCATTTTTTACTCTGAGACAAGGTCTCATTAAGTTGAGCCCAGGCTGGGCTCAAACCTGGGATCCTCCTGCCTGCCTCTGTGTCCGAGTGTTGGGATTACAGTTGTGCATTCCGCACCCAGCTCAGAGACAGCCTTTCAGAGCTCTAAGGTCTCACGGCACACAGTGAGAACTAGAGGAGGGCTCATGATGGCGATGGATGGAAAGGCTTCACAAATCATGGCTGTTTGGGAGCAAACAGCATGGGAGGAAATACTCTTATGTATCCCCAAACTCCTAGGAAAATGATTATTTTTATGTTTTTAATCACTCAGGGGAAAAAAAGTATCACTATATCTTGCAGAGAAGTGTGTATTTTTGAAAGACCCCTGATCTTGGCATACTGGCTCCTGCCTGTAACCCCAGATACAGGAGGCTGAAGCAGGAAGATCACAAGTATGAGGCCAGCTGGGGCACTTGAGCAAAACTCTGTCTCAAAAAAAAAAAAAAAAAAAAAACCACTAAAATGGGATGGGATGTAGCTCACACTTACTGAGTTCAGCCCTAGTATGGCAGGGGACAGGTGTCAGGCTGCTTGAGTGGTTTACGGTGTCAGACTCAAGTTTCACTTCTTCAGTACATCTAAATTTTGACAAATGACAGGGAACGTCTGACCCCTTAATGTCCAGTGCATCAGGCACATAAACTCGAGATGAGTGAGTCCCCAGTAAAGGAGGTATTTTGTGGGCCACAACTCAATCAGTGCATCGCAAGCCACTCCAGATTGTGAAGGAAATGTGAACCCACAGACCTGAAATGAGCAAATGAGGGAGTGTGCATGCTGTAATTACTTGCACTGTTGGGCCTTCAGGGGCTGCTCCACAACATCAGTATTTAATAAACAGACCCTCATAGCTCTAGCGTAAAAAGAAGAAATAAAAACGATTCCAGTTTTAAAGATCTGATGCCACACAAGTTGCACATAAGGAACACCTGTGGGTCACTCACACACTTACATTACTTTATTCTCATCAACAAACTAACGTAGTCTCTGCTGACCACTGGTGGTTTATCAAGCGTCTGACACTCCAGACACTGTGAATTGTGCCACCTTATGTAGGTCCCACTGAAAGCTGTCCATCTTCCCTACTGAGCCTACAATCATCCTGTTTGGAGGGTACCTCTTGTTTGCGCCAGCTGCAGTGCCTCTTTACTGTCTTGCAGATCTCCGCCTGTAATCATGAACTGAAATGGAAAGAAAGAAAATAAGCTAATGGCAGCACTACCGAGTTCCAGACTTTCACTTTCAGTGCACAGTACTTCTCCTTCTGAATACCATGTAGCTACCCTTCCTTTATAATTCAGTTCAGAAAATCATCCCTACATAGCATGGCCCCTGGCTGCTCTACACACCCACCAACACGTCCCACAGTAGAGGCTGTCCACATGTTTACAGCTGGGGTGGTAGCACATGCCTGCAATCCTGGCATTCTGGGAGACTGAGGCGTAGCAAGTCCTGTCTCAAAAGTATCTTTAAAAGGCATCTCAGTGAGAAGGTCCTGGGTTCCACCCTCGATACCACAAAGAAAACAAATGTAGTCATGTACCTGCCTTTGCTATTAGTGCCTTGAGGACACAGCTCATGTGTTATGCAAAGATCAAACAACTAACGACCACAAATTTAGAATTCAGTTATTCTAAATCAATAATTATCTACACCATTGTTCAATAATGATGAATAATTCAACAGGTGTCCACATACGGTCTAAGAATTCCCAGGGAGTAAATGAGGTCAAAACTATTTTCCTAATAATAAGACACTGTTTGTTTTTTCTATTCTTGATCTATCACAGTACACAATGAGGTTAGAAAGGGGCCACATAACATGTGACATCACAACAGACCAACACAGAAACAGATGTGCAAACCCAGCAGTCTCCTTGTTAACTCAGTCATAAGAAATCTGAGAGTGCAAGTGAAGGTGCCTGCTGTAATTCCAGCTCTTGGGAGGCTGAGGCAGGAGAATTGCAACAAACTCGAGGCCAACCTTGGCTCTATAGTGAGTTCAAAGCCAGCCTGGACTGCACAGCAAGATCTTGTCTCAAAACTCTAATGAAAACAAAAAATCTGAAAGAATACAACATAATCCCATTTATTGCTAAGGTCTGATAAACTACTTATTTTTCATAAAAATATACTGTTTATATTACATGGTAATTTCTGTTATATGTATAGTAAAATAAGTACAATTTTTAGAAGTGACTTCCGGGAGAATATGGGAGATAGATAGCAGCAGGTATGGAGGCTCTCTGAGATACCCCACTTAGAATCCAGGAATGGGGCGGTGTGAGGAGTCCTAACCAAGAGGAGATATACCCTGCTGACCCAGGAACGAACTAAGCTAAAAGAAACCAACTAGAAATCCAATCCTGGTGCTATAACAGGAATAGATAAAATCTCAGCGCGGAAGCTGGATCCCGAGCCATTGGAAGCCACAATTTGAATTTCCTGCTGCCGCTGCTGCATCCAAATCAGCACAGAAGGGAGAGAGATGCGCTAAAACTCTGAGAGTGGGAACTGGCAAACAGAGTTGAGAAGAGGACTGGCAGGGAGCCCTGCATTGACCTGTGGTGAGTGAGCGGATCGGGGACCCTTCCATAGAGTAGGAGGCTTCAGCAAATGACACACTGGGACCAGGCAGACTTGCTGGAACAGGACGCTGCAGTAACTTTGGTCGCATATTCCCCTCTCAAGCGGGATTAGTGGGGAGTGCCAGGCCTGGGTGTCGCCGCTGACCTAAGACTCAGTAGGCTAGCCCAAACCAGGTCCCAGCACCTGGATGCACCCTAGGAGTGAAGCCTTCGGTAGGTTGACCTGGAGGGGCGGGCCCAGCAGAGGCTGCCCAGGTCTGTGTCCCCCTAGTACACTGCAGTGGGTGAGAACACCTAGCCAGTGCAATTCAAACAAACTGTAACCGAAAAAGAGAAAAAAAACTGGGCCTCCTATATTCACTTGTATGGAAGGAACAAAAAATATGGGAAGAGGAAGCAATGAGAAAGGGTCCTCAGTTCCCAATCCTGAGAACACTGATCCAGGAAAGATGAATACAAAGGAGAATGAGGAAAGAAAACATGCAATATCAGACACGGCACCAATAGACATAAAGCGATATCTCCGGAGCATCATAGATGAGTTCAAAAGAGAAGTATTTAACGAAATAAAGGAAGATATAAGCAGAACAGTTAGAGAAATGCTAAGCACTGCCCAAGAAAAAACAGATGAAGGAATGGAAGAACAGAAAAAAAGGGGAGAATTGTTTGATGGAGAAAATAGAGAAAACATAGAATACGTGAAGCAGGTTCAAAGAGATTACCAGGAAACTAAAAACTCTATCGAAAGCTGGCATAACAGCTTGAAAGAAACTAAGGATAGATTATCTGAACTGGAGGGCAGATTTGTAATGTGGGAGCATGAAATGAAAAGTCTTAAAAATAACAAAAAAACGAACAGCAACAATACAAAGGCTAGAAGATGATAAGAGGATCTATAACTTAAGAATTAAGAATATAAAAGAAGAAGTAGGGACACAAACAACAAATGGACTACAAAAGTTATTCACAGAAATAATCCAGGAGAATTTCCCTAATTTAGCAAAAGGTAAAGATACTCAGATGTATGAGGCATACAGGACCCCAGCCACCTACAACCCAAACAAAGCTACACACAGGCACATAATAATCAAAATTCCAGAAATCCAATATAAGAACAGAATATTAAAAGCCATTAGAGACAAGAAACTGATCACTTACAAGGGAACACCCATCAGAATTACAGCAGACTTCTCGGCACAAACCATCAAATCATGAAGAGTGTGGGGGGAAATAATTCAAACTTTGAAAAATAACAACCTCCATCCAAGATTGATATATCCTGCACAACTGTCCCTAGAAATTGATGGAAAAACAAGGTGGTTCCAAGATAAAGAGGAACTAGGGGAATTTGCAACCACCAATTCAACTCTACAGAGAATACTGCAGGATATTCTAAAAAAGGAAAATACCAAGATTCCAGAAACAGTGGCAGAGAGGCCATAATGAATGAAGCAGAAAGCAAAATGAAGAAGACAACAACTGACAACAAACAACAGAAAAAGATCTCAACAGAAATGAGGCAGAGAAGATTGGATGGTAGAAACAGCTATTTTGGAGAAAACAAGACATTATAATAGCTAGTCCTGATTTCGTATCATCTTGTTTTGAAGTCCCATCAAGCTTTTATTCTTGGCTGGTCCAATGGCAGTGGGTTATCAGAACTTATTAACATTAGTGTCACTAAAGTTGGTATACCACCCCCCCACACACTGCTAAATTTGACTAGCTTTTAAAAAAATAAAAATAAAAAATAAAGCTTTTATTCTTCTGTCTCCATCGTTCTTAACAGGTTGTATCTTATTGGATTTTATTATATGTGACAATATAAGCAAAAACTTTCATAGACAAGGAGATTATACAGAAACCATTGTTCATTTTCTGATAGTTGGTTCTAAATACCCTATAATACTGTCATTCTCTTGAATGGTTTTACATTGTCTTGATATGTTTGGTGCTACAGTATACAAAGTTATACTCAAAGATTTCAAGGAAAGAAACACTACGGTAACTACTTTTATGTCAGGGTATCTTGTGGTGAAACACTATTTTGCTTAAATATTTATGCTTTGACCTGCGCTGTTTTGTTGTTATGCCTTTTTTTATCTCAATCTCCTTTGTTTAGTTATTTACTTTTTTATCTTTTTAATTAAGGGAAAAATAAATAAAAAAATAGCAGGATACATTATAGTAACCGACTTTGATTTCCTATTAACTTGATTTGAAACCCTGTATCGCCCTCACCATCTTGTTTTAACTAATTTTCCCCTATTCTGCTTTGCTTGATAGTACCAAGTTCGAAAGTATAGGCAACAACTGTAAAGACAATAAGATTCATGATGACACCCATTCTGGTTGACTATTATCTTCTTTTAAAGTCCTGTAATGTCTCGAATGTTTTGGTTTTATTCTTTACTGTTTTGCTCAATTCTATTATAACTGATGATATAGTTATAATTCTTTTTAAGATAGCAAGAGGCAGTATGGTAACCATTATTGATCACCTTGTATTTTGTTTTTGCATTATCTATTATATCCATCCTTTTGATTTGACTGACTCTGTTCTGTTATGTCAATTTGGTTTTACTCTCTTCAAAAAAAAGTAGTAAAAACTGTGGGAGTAATAAAACCCAAAATGTGTAATTGTCATTGTACAAAAGACAGGAAAAGAAAGTGCTCTAAAGAATATAACTGCATATATATTTAAGTGTATAAGATAATCATATTACTGACTTTTTTTGGATCATTGAACAAAATTGTTTGCAGTCTCACTGTTTGAAAGTCCACTTTATATGCTTTAATTTTGTAACTTGAACAACTATTTCTAAGATAACAATATGTAACCTATTAACTAGTGATTTCCTACTGTTTATTCTTTCTGAAATTCTGTATAACTTGTCCCCTTTTTGTTTTTTTTTCTTTTTGTCCTTAAAATTTTTTAAAAAAATAATAATAATTACAATTTTTAGTTCTAAATCCTAGTATTGTACAGGTGTGATCAAAGTATAATAAATACATAAATTTAAAATAATTTATTACAGTAAAAACTGTAATAAACTATTAATCCTCCTTAAAATACTCCCCTTCACTCCAAACACACTTCTGCCATCATTTGTACCACCCTTGCAAACAGTTCTGGAAATCCTCTTTCCTGAGGGTCTAGGTTTAATAAAAACATAAAGAATGCTCCTACAGACTGCCATCCAATAGAAAGGTAGATTTGTGGAAATATCAGTGTGTCTGTCCTCAGGCACCTCATTCACTGGATCTGGCACCATGTGACATCTGGCTCTTCCTCGAAGCCAAAATGACCACGAAAGGTAAACGTTTTAAACGCATTTAGAATGTTCTGGCAGCCATGACAGCTTAACTAAAGACACTCCTAAAGGATTTCCAGGACAACTTCAGAAAGTGACAAAAATGATGGGCGACATGTATTTGAAGGGAGGGAGAGTATGTTTGAGGGGGTCCTGACAGTGGTCTTTTACTGTAATTGAGACATGAAGTTTGAAAAATGTAATGAATGTTTAAAGTTTTTAAAAATATTATAGTTAAAAGACATGCAAAAACTTGTGGAAGTCTTCAGTAATACTACCGAATGGCAAGGGGTTGGAAGACTGCAAAGCTTGAGAACTGCTGAGTTAATAATGAAATGACCAGTTCTCTGTAGGGAATTTATGGCTTTTGGGAAATAAGCAAATCTCTACAAGAGATGGCCATTCATCTCCCTGACGGGAGGAATGCCATCTCTGCTGTCTGCCAACAGGAAGACAGCACTAGAGAAGCACGTGTTGTCGGTGACTATGCAGGAAGTGCCATTCAAGGTACACACTATTTCTAAAGAAATGATTTAAATACACTGGCGTATATTTTTAAAGCACACTTCAAGAGTGTCACTGAGCTAAGATGAAGGTTCCATTCTAGGGATGCACCTAGAGAATACATACAAAATAAAACGCAGAGCTGCAAAGGAGAATCAGACATCTTCAGACAGCAGCTTAACCCTCTAACATGACTAGACACTGAGTCGCTTACCCACTCAGGCGCTTACCCACTACTCAGTCCTCAGATGCATGCAGAACATAGGATACACTTATAAAAATGCAGGAAAACTTTCTTGTTTATTAATATTATTTAACCTCAAAAATCAAATCAGTTGCTCATGTCTAGTACTTCAATTGTGTAAAAGCTTTCCATCAAGTCAGTTTCTCAACTTTACCTATACTTGCAAACCCACGTGCAGCGTGCAATGCTGATGACACATCATGCCATGCCATGCCACGCCACGCCATACCACCAGCAGCACCCACCACACTCAAACTGAAGGCTGGTGATGCCTGTATGAAACCATAGGCCCTGTACTCAAAAACATTCCACTAAATCCCCACTGTGACTGCGCAGCTACGCACCACCGTCATCCCGCTCTACAGTGAGAACACCAGTACCTAGAGAGAAAATGTCCAAGTTGCAAAGCTGGAAGGGCCCTCAGATTCCTAATACCATAAAAGAGCTGGTACCACTACAATATCCCAGCAAGGCACTAAATTAACTTCCAATTTTGGACCACGCCCAATTAAAACTGACATCAGCTTTGTCATCCTTAAACTGGTTGTGTGTATTTGTCTTTGTATACTTAGAGAGGTTAGTATTAAATTGTTTGAGACTCCCACAAAACTTTAGAAGCTTGGTATTTTACCGCTGACAGAAAAGCAAGTTTTAAACTGACTTACCAAGTGACTTTATAATGAGAAATCTGTAACTTTTATCCTTTAATTATTTGTGAATAACAACATACAATTTGAGAGTTGGAACCTTGAGAACTCAGTGAGCCTTGTCATTTTTTGGAAATGAAGCTGCTCAACTTAGAACCAATAGCTACTACATAACCAGATGCCATGCTGTGGAATTTAATCTTACTCCCTGAGTCTAGCTTGCTACTTTAAAAACCGATGTAAAGAAATATCTATTCAAAGAATTTGGTGCTGAGCTACCTAATATTCCCTTGCTTATTAGAACTCTCTAAAACTTAGCAGAATTTTAGTCCTATAAAAATTAAAATATCTTCTCAGTTGTCTGAACTGGAATATTCTAAGCTGAATTTGTGACAGATTCATGTCTTTTTGACAACTGCCTGTTCCAACAAATGCTAAATTATATTATAAATTTGTTATACATTGGTTAAGAAACTCAGTACTTCATATAGGCTTAAGCATATTTTTCAAAGAGATTTTGCCACTGACATATTTCCAGTCACATGGAAGAATTACACAGAAGGCCTTAAACTTCCCTTAAGTAGCTGTGAACAGAATATACTGATACTCCACTTCTATTAATTAATTCTACTATATGTTAATAGCGCATATTTGCCAGGTAGATGGTAGTGCTCATTCCCTTGCCCTCTTCTTCTTGGGGTACTAGGGATCGAACTCATGACCTCATGCTTGTCAGGCAGGTGCTTATGCCACTGAACTAAATCCCCGGCCCTGCTCATTTCCTTTTTATCTACAGAATTTTCATTAAAATTTATTGTAGAAACAAAAAGCTAAAGAATAACAAAAAAACAGATGTTACCTTTTTAACACCAATCTGGACGGCTCTCTCTATTACATCCTGCAAGTCATCTGTACAAGACAGTAAAAATTCACTTATCCATGTTATCTCTTCTGGAAGTAATCACATGCACCAAAGGTACAACTATACTCTTTTATCATATAAGGCGAGAGCTAGCAAAATTCTCATTGAAAAAAGAAACAAAATTAAGGCAAACTAAATGAATAATTATATTGTATTTTTATTCTGTTGACCAAAAAGGGAGAGAGTAACAAAACTCAGGAGGTTCAAACTAAAGATGAGTTCACTAATTGCAATTTGAGTCACATGCCCATTTGCTGGCATTGTTTTTAGAAAGTAAATAATTTTTTTTTTTTTTTTTTTGTACCAGGGATCAAACTCATGACCTCGCACTTGCCAAACAGGTGCTTATGCCACTGAGCTAAATCCCCGGTCCAGTAAATAATTATTAAGATCATTTTTACTAGGGCTTTTCTAGGTTTATTTGCGATAGGTTCCAAACATCACATCTCTGTGTAAAAGTCAGTTCAGACCGGGGATGCAGCTCTGTGGTAGAGTGGCTATCTCATGTGCAGGAGGCCCAGGGCTCCATCCCCAGCACCAAGAAAGAAAAACATTCAGTCAGTGCTCCATTTCTCTAACTACTATTCCCACTAAGGACAGATGTCTTCTGTTTCACCTGTCAGGTTGTTTGTTTTCTGGGTTTTTTGTTATTCATTTCATTCATTGTTAAGTGACAATAAACTTTTCTGGGAAAATCAGTATTAATGATTAAATTCTAAGGGACCACAAATAAATAGACAGTAAAATTATAGTATCACAAAAATCCAATTATTAATTTCATATTTAAGTGACAGTAAATGTGATTATAATTAAATTACTATTATGCCTAAATTAGCACAAAATTTATTTTAGAGCACAAATATTAACCTTAACTTGTTACCCAAGACAGCAACTGGTTTTGCTAGATATTATAAATGATAGTAATGCTGTTATTGATAATAGTTCATTTCATAAACACACATGCATACATGTCGCATCACAAAACATGAAATCTGTTACAGTACAAAGGCCAGAAAGTAGAATTTACTCAATAGCCCAACTGTGCTATAAGCATTACATAAAAATATCATCCAAAATTTATCATCAAATAAATGAAGCAGAAAAGGTAAGTGCTAAGGTAAGGCTTGAGAAAACTAACATTTACTTTCTTTCAAGGGACAGCTAACGTTTCCTGTACTTAGAAAAGCTTTCACCTAAGTGAACAAAATTAGTTACCAACATAGCTTGTTAAAATGTATAGTTTTACTTCATCCATAATGGTAAATCCAAATTTTCCTGTTTGCGTTTATATGGTGAGTATAATCAATTTTCTGAGGCAATATTCACAGACTAGTATATTGCAGAAACTATGTTTTTAAAAACTTGCTGTTGCTGCCACACCTTAATTACCTCTCGGTTGAAAAAAAAAAAGCCTTACATTACACATAGGCTCATATTTTTTTAAAAATTTATTAAGTGTACTGGTACACTTTAGATATACATAATGGATCACATTCATCATAGGGAACTTGTACCTGTACATGGTGTGTCTTAGTTCCTCTTTTTTTAGCTCGTATGTTAAAAACCCTCCTTTTGCTTTTGGCTAAGCCTCCCCTCACTTTGCAGCATTATTATCTAGTCCTACATAATGCAGCAGATACAGTATAGGTCTGAGACATGAATAGAAACGGACAGAAGGTGACAACAGTGCTCTACCTCTCAATCATACTGCTACTGCCTGGGTGCCTGCGTGAAAATGTTTTTTAAAAACTAGATGAACTGACATTGTACAATAAGTTACTTCTGATTATGTGCCCAGTTGTTCAGTTGCTTAACACATTATACAGAGGCTATTACTTGGCCTTGTACAAATGATTATTCAAAGTTCTGTACTCAAAATTTTAAGTACCGATAATTAGAGGACTGAATTAAAATTTTGTTGTGACAGATGCCTTATAAAAGTTCATGACTACTGTTTGCCAATACAGCTTGTTCTTGTTTCCCTTTTTAAAAATCCAAAATGTGTAATGAGTTCCTCAACATGTCTTAAGAGTAGATTTTACCTTTCAAGACCTGCACACAGCAGAAAAATGTATCTTCAAGAAACTGTTTAGTAAAAGAAACACTTACCCTGATGCTTCTGAACCCCTCTATAAATTCCTCTGAACATAGGATCTGTCAAGTTGATACCAATATCTGCAGAAGCCAAAAATAAAATAATCATTAGGAGTCTCTGTTGGAAACTTCTTTAAATTTAAGGTCCTGTTCCTAAACTTTTCATTTGCATATTCACTCAAATAATATCCAAGTGCCAGCCACTTTTCAGCTGCTGTGCTAGACCCACAGGATACAAAGACAAGCAAGATACTGTTATGGCTTTTGCCTAGATGTTCTCCTAAAGCCTCATGGAGTCATGGGTGGATCTTTCAGACTGGCTGGATCTAGTGTGTGATGCTGGGACTAAGAGTACATGATTCCTAGTTAGTCCACTGACTGGGTTGGCCTAGTTTTGAGTGTGGAAAATGGGAAGATTCACCCTGAGTGATATTTGAGTACCCTAAGGATATAGAGCCTGAATGATATAAGGGACAGAAAGAGGGCCACTGTGGTCACCTGCTGCTTTGCTGTCTTCTGCCCACCATGAACTGTTTCTTCACTATGATGCCCTCTGCCATGCACCCTGCTTTGGAGTCAACCAATTATGAACTGAAACATCTACAAACTGTGAGCTACAAGAAACCTTTCCTCCTCTAACTTTGAGTGTTGGATATTTTCTCAGCAACAAGAAAAGTAATTAGGGCAGACCTAACTCCTGCTCTCAAGAAACTCCCTGCAGAACTAATAAGGCAGACCAATCAACAGTCAATCATAAAACATTAAAAGGAAACACTGGTACAACAGGATAGAGAAGGGAACATCCAACCTAGTCAGGTGGCCGGCTTAGAAGTAATCCCTGCTCTGAAACTAGAACACCTTCAGTCTGTGGAACAGAACAGTATTTTAGAGTTAGGGTCCTGCTAGCTGCTGGAGAGCAACACAGGGAATGCAGTAGCTGGAAGAGGCCAAACCCAACTATGTTACCAGGCACAACAGGAAGCACTGATGGCTTAGAAGCAGAGGAGTAAGATTTACACTGCCGTAGCCCATCCTGGCATCTTTGCGGAAGGTGTTAGAAGGGGACAGATGCAGTTAGGATGACCCACCTGGAAACTGATAAGGACTCGTAAGTGCAATGAAGCCTACTTTACAGTAATGGAAATGGAGATGCAGAGAGGGTAATAAAACATTTATTTTCTTTATTCACCAAATATTTAAAAAGATCATTCTGTGCCAACTACTATATCAGAAGTTAGGGGATACAACAATGAGTAAGGCCCAACACTTGGTCCCTGTCTTCCAGAAATGTACAGTCAGTATAGAAGCTACAAATAAAATGCTGTAACATAAGCTAGACTATAAAGAAATCATGTTTACCTTCTTCCTTACTGTATCCCTGGAACACACCATAAGTGCTGACATACAGAAGAATTGAATACACATTTATGTACTCGATAAACAACTGTTATACACATGGGAGCACAAAGAAAGCAATACAATTTTGCCACAACAATATAAAAGCTTCACAGAAAAGCTGGGCCTTGAAAACAGCTTAGGCCTACAAGTTAAAGAAGAAGGCAAAGGGTATTGTACGCACAAGTGTGTGCAGGGACATACGAGAACTAGCAACAAGGGCTCCATGGTGCCTGCGGGGGGGTTCTCAGTGGACAACAATGTGCAGCATCCTCTTCCCCCAACATTTGGCAATGTCTCTATATACATTTTTGGTTGTCACATCTGAAGGGAGTGCTACTGGCATCTGGGTTGAGGCTTCAGAGGCTACCAAATATTCCAATACATAAGACAACCTCACAACAGAGAATTATCCAACTCAAAAACTATCCAATCATAAAAACCCAAAAACTAACCAAAAGGAGCCAAAAAGTAAGCAAATTTGATAAGTAAACATTCACAAGTGAAAAGTGAACCTGAGATTAACTTGGAGGCATTATGAGGTCTTGTCCTGTCTCAGCTACATGGAACCACCACCAAACCCTCTGCAGGGTCTACCCTGAGGCAGCTGACAGCTAAGACCCACTGCAGGTGACCCCAGGCCACTTGGTGCCGTCCTCTGAAGGCTCACAATGTACTTCAAATTCTGTGTTCAGCTCTGCACAAACGTGCGTCCTGGACACCGGGATACCCTGCCTGGCTCCGCCACCAACTTCCCCAACATCAGAATTGAAGGTGAGGAAATGAGACAACAGTACCTGTGGGTTTTTTCTTCTTTTAAAATATGTATCTCCAGTCAATAAAGATTTGGTTTCAACTTGACAACTATTCATATGTAGATATTTACTGTTAAAGCAACTGAAAGATAATTCATATAGCCACCCTTTAAAAACTACCAATTTCATTTAAATTGGTTTTCTTGTGTAGGCTGAATACTTGTTAGTTTTTTTTCTATAAAGGATAGAAATTTTATTTTAAATTTGTGCTACTACTCTTTTGATTAGTACATGCATTTTATATCATCTTGAGAAGTTAGCAGATGTACAAAATACAGTGTATTTTTTAAATCCTCTTCCCTTCCCCCCCCTCCTCTAGTGCTCCTTTCTTCTTTTCATTTTTGATGTTGTTAATCTTAGTTCATGTTTATGCATGTAATATCCACGTTCCTGGCATATCCTTGCTCCTGGCATATCCTCACTCTACCTATTTCCATCCCTTCCCCCTCATCAAGCGACGGAGATTTTTGTGAAGGTGAATTTTAGTCCTCTTCATGTCATTATTTATAAACTGAGACCTTTTAAAAACACCTAATATTAAAATCTCTGAGCTACTTTCAACATCCAGTTAAACATTTTCTTAGTGATAATATTATTTGGCTTAGTACGTTACATATTCTGTATCAATGTAAGCTAAACAGAATAACAAGATAATAAAATTGAGACATCTCAAAACTGAAGTGATTGTAGACATAGGGCACAACGAAAGTTCTGAACTGACATCTAGGATGAACACATATGGTTTGTTCATGCAAGGTTTTCTGAACAGAACTTTATATGAAGTAAAAATAAGTCATGGTTAAAAAAAAAAAAAAAAACAGACCACCATTCTGCATACCACGGCAGCCACAACTGACAGAAAACGTTCCCTTACTCATGGAGGTGGTGCTGGAGAACACTGGACCCCAAGAAGAGGCCCCTTCCTTATGTTTTTGAAACACAGAGAAAGCTGAGGGTAAAAGAAGAAATTAAAACTAAATTTGAGATCACTCATTTGATCCCTTTTAGCAGGTAACTATAGCCAGTACCAACGTATGCTGCGCACACTGTCTCAGTGTGAGTTTTCAAGGGGCAAAACTTTGCTGGTGTTATGATACGAATCTCAGAGACTGGGAAAACTGAGAGAGATTACAAGGAAACAGAACGTTGCATTGCTGCAGCATAAGAAAAAGTTGCTGAGTATAAAAAGCAAATTCTTCCTGCAAATGAATAGGAAAAGAATCACCAAGAACAAAATGCTTTTCAATGGTGACCCAACATCAGCCAGACAAGAAGGAGACAGTGAAGGGACGAGAGGCCAGGTGAAGGGAATCGGAACATCTCCCACTTAGCAACGTACGGAGGATCAGCTGGACCCGAGATGGAAAGTGTCCTGTTCTTAGCACCACCATGAACTTCAGCAAACATCAAAAAACAATGAAAGTCGAGAGACAGAAACTCAAAAAACAAGAATAAAACAGATCCTGAGTGACAAAAAGACTAATTGCTCAAAATTTCCAAGAATATTGAAAGAGCTATGGGACATTGCTGTTCAGAATTCGTTGTGCTCTTGAGATATTTAAAGTTTTGGCTGTGAACACTTTGCTTTTATTAATGCACATTTCATTCATATTTCCTCATACAAAAGAAAATGACATCAGTGTATACTTGTTTCACTGAAACTCATTTTTTATTCTTAAAAGACAGGAAATAATATCCAAATATGTTTAATATCTTTCACACTGACATAAACTACTTCCCTTCAGATAAAAGCCACTTCCTCACCCACTGACCCACCCCAGACTAGGAAGACTAGATTAACTGACAAGTCAATACACTGGGGCCAAAGAAAAATTCAAACTGATTAAAAGCAGTCAACCTGTGAGCAAATACCAAGGCATACAAAGATATGGAAGAACTGCAACTACACAGTTAGGGAAAGAAAGTGAATTGGGGTCAGAATTGTCAGCATTGCCAATTTTTTTTTTTTTTTATTTAAGAGGAAAAAGAGAAAAACACAAAACAAAACAAAGCGGTGTAAGGGTACACGTAATACAGAACTACAAAAAAAAAAAATAACAGTAAGAAATCACCTGTTAATAGATTACATATTATCATCTTGAAAATAGTTGCTCAAATCACAGTATCAAAGAATACAAGGTGGACATTCAAACAGGGAGACTGCAAACAGCTGTGTTCAATGATCCAAAAACATTGATATAGTCAGCTATTTAACACCCCTAAACACACTTGCTGTTATATCCATTAGAGCTCTTTTTCTTTTCTTTTTTTTTTTTCCCCTCTCTTTTTTACAACAAAATTTACACATTTTGGATTTTATTACTCCTTAGTGCTTATTACTTTTGGGGGGGGGAGAGAATACAGTCAAATATGGCAAAACAAAGCTGTCAGTCAAAACCAAGGATAGACATAGCACATGGTGTAGAACAGAGTACAAGGTTATCAACAATGGTTATCAACGTTGTCTCTTGTTACCTTAAAAAGAATTGTCTATCTCATTAGATATTATAAAGTTGGACAAAACAGTAGAGAACAAGACCAATAAAACTCAGGCATTGTAAACATTACAGGACTTCCAAAGAAGACAATAGTCAAAGCAGAATGGGCATCTTAGTGAATCTTATTGCCTTCAAAGTAGTTGCCTATATCCTCAAACTTGATACTATCAGACAGAATGGAACAGAGTCTAATCAGTCAAAACATGATCGTGGGAGTATTACAGGACTTCAAAACAAGTTAATAGGAAATCAAAAAGAGTTACTATTTATATATCCTAATTTTTAAAATTTTTTCTTTAAGACAAACATAAGAAATGACTAAATAATTTTTTTAAAAGAATAAGGGGGAGATTGAGATAAAACAGGACATAAC